GTGGGGGGTGGCATAGGACACTGCCGTTACCAATACCCGTTACCCTACATTATCTGGGCAGTCGTTTAACTCCTCATAATCAGTAACGGCTTGATGCATAGCATGCAGGATCATTTTCTTTATCTGTACAACAAAAAGTATCATATTTCTTGAATTTTTTACATGAACCAAGAACCAACAAAAAGTATCATTTATGTTACCTCTAGCTTGTCTTCTCTGGCTCTGTGATTTATGGGCAGCTTACGGAACTCTTCTGTTAGTCGGATACATTCTTTTATGTTCTCTGGAGAAACAAAGTCCACGGCAACTTTGGTACATGACTACAAGAAAAGAAGCACGAGATGATTATTCTTGTGAGAATTAAGGATCCTCCATGTTTTTCCATAGCAATTTGGTAAAACTCTTAAAACTATATGAAGCATCAAGTACCCATCACTAATCCGTCCAAAGTTATCGGTCTGTTGGCCATGAAAGCATGTTGCACATAGGTGAAGCAACAAAAAATGAAATGGATTCTATGCCTGCAAAAGAAGTCTAAGGCTTTGGTTCTCAAAGTTTTTACAAATCATTGATGCATTAAAAGTGGTTGTCGGTTTTTATTTTTCCTTGCAAAAAGCATGTTCCATGTAGGTGGAGCAACGAAAAGTAGAGTGAGCCCATGCCTATAAAAGGAGTACAAGGCTTTGGTTTCAATGCGCCTCGATCAAGATGCAATTAAGTATTACGTCTTATTTCTTGCACTCGTACTCGTGACACTCTGTGTCAGAGTGAAGAAATATGAGTTAAGCCTTTTGGAGAATGTGGGTGTAATGGAGTGGCTTCAAAGATCAAGTCTGTATGATTGTAATATTTTTTCTTATTGGAGGCCAATCTTTCCAGGGAAAAAATTAAAACAATTTCGCATATTTAGCCATTTATATTCGAACACAAATTTCATATTTTCTTCAATATATCCAACGTTTGATTCCCTAATGACTAGTTTTGTGTTTTTTTTAGTTTTTCAATGTCCTTTTATGCTTTTTGGGCATTTCAAAGATGTTAAATGACAAATGGGCATTGAGTTGCGTTCACAGTGAGACCTGTGAGACTACAAAATTACACTGAAACATCAAAATAACATGTTGTGAAGGTACAAAAATAAACCGAACCTTCACAACAAAAACAAACATTCATAGTGTTCTGTTGTGAAGGTTTAGTGTTGTTTATATAGTCTCACGAGTCCAATGAAAACAACGTGGTCTTGCATGATCCCAAGTCATTAGGCATTACACGAAATCCATTTCTTTGGGTATTTGTATAAATATGGAATGATTTCAGTCTTTTTCACAACATTCTCTCAATCCCTCAACATTCTCTCAATAATTTGCTATTCAATCATTTTCTTATCTTAATAAATTTTTTGCTCTAGTTTTTTCCTAGCAACATTTGTAAATCTTCCACCCCATAACCGCATCCCAAAATATTGAAGTTACTACAAACAATGGTCGTAAAGTTGCAGTTTTGGAAAATTACAACCACATCATAGTTGATACTTGATAGGAAACAAAAACAAAATCGATGCAAAAATGTTGACATCTACTTATGGCTCAAGGAATTCCACATTGAGCTTACACATGAAAAAATAATGCACCCAAGCAACATTTACAGTGGCAATACGATCAAGCATTTTAAAGAACGCCAGAAGCAGGGCCTTTTATTGTCTTGATGATATACGCCTTACAAGTGTGAGGCATTCAATAATTTGTGAGGCCCGATTTTTGATGAGTTAGAGTTTAATGGATTAGAGCAACTCCAATTGTAAGCTAAAATAGTGTTTTGGCCGGTCTAAGAACTCCAACCGACCGGCAAAGAGAACTTAATTTTGCTGGTAATGGGAGAGAGACAACAAATATGTCTAGCATCGTGGTTCAAACGGACATAGATGTTTGTGGCATGCTACGTTAAGCCTGTGGCATGTTACGTTAAGCTTGTGGCACGTCATGACATAATATGTTTTTTTGGGGCTTACGCTTCGATCGCCTCGAGGCTTATGCCTCATGTGCCCAAGAAGAAAACGACTTGAGGCTAGTTTCCGTTCTTTAAAACCTTGCGATCAAGAATTGTGCTTGAGTTGGACAAAACATGGTGATACATGGACTATCTTTTTGATATTTGGATAGCAAATGCATAAAGACATGGTTTCAAAAAAACGCTTCAACAAAAATATAAATTGATAACAGAGATGCAGAACCGAGCTTTTTCAAGCTTAGGCACGGGCCTTCCAAGCCTGTTCTTCCGAAAGCATAAAAACAGTTTAGGCATTTTTAGGCTTGTGACAGGACTATCTTTGGGGTTGAAATAGGTCATGAACGAGCTTTTTCAGGCCGGGATTTTCAGGCTTTTTAGACTAGAATTTTCCGGGCTTTTCATACAAAGCTTTTCCGAGTGAGCCTTAAGCAATCCTTGGGAGAAAAAAAAAGTTAGCATGATCAGCTTTATTGGGCCTGAGCTTTTCAGGCTATACCAGACGCCGAACTTGTGCTTTTTTGTGCATCTCGAACCAAAAAGTTATACCACCTTGAAACACGATGGTAGATAAACAGCTAAACACACGATTCTTTGTCGATCTGGCCTGAGCAAGGGTATCTTCTCTCAAGAAAGAAAAGTGGTCATCACACAAGAAAATTTCCCATTTACCTTCATGAGAATCCCATGGAATTGGAGTGGCCAATTCCATTGACCAAATTTATTAGGCATTGATTTGCAACATAGTTGGAACTCGGTTCCACCAAAATCCCCCAAATTCTACGAATGCACAAATCTTCCATTCCTAGTAAGCCAACATAGCTCAATTCCATTCTATTAAAGAATGTTCAAATGGCTAAAGAACCGTTCTTCAAACATTAAATAATAAATGATCATTTCTAGATTTCTAACAAGTAACATTTAAATAATTATACTAGTATTTATGATTAAGTTTCAAATATGTATTTAACTAAACAAGAAATTGCAAAAATATTATTAGAGTAAAACTATCATTTATCATTATTTGCATTCTAATTCCAAAACTACATTTAGAGAACGAAACAGAAACCGTATAGAATTGCATTTCATTCTTTGACAACCAAACACGTGATCAAACTAGATTCAATTTCATCTCAAATCCCGTAGAATTCAATTCCTCTGGACATATTTCATTTCTTCCAAAAATATTATGTAAACCAAACACCTGTTTAGTGATTTGATATCTTTAGACTACTCTCAGACATACATGTGATCTTCACTTTCAACGTGATGAAGTCCATTATTTCCTATCACAAACATCATGATTATTTTCACATACTTTTCCTTCAAGTGAATTAACTTATCGAGATTCACAAAGACGTCCTCTAGCACATATGGCTTGTATAACCAATATCAAGGGATCATATGATGCAGTTTGATATCTCGTTAGGTACGATAACCATGAAGAGGCTAAGGCGTCCATCTTCACTTTCTTGTACGCCATGAGTCTTGTGTACTTGGAGACATGGTGTCCATACTCCCTTGTTTCTTTATGTACATGCTAGGAGAGTATCCACATATGTGACATGAATCAATGTGTTAGATTTATCAAACTTTCCTCTACCACATCAACAACCTTTGCTATTTGAGTTCTCTTGACAATTGAATTCCATCTTTCGTGGTCGTTGTTTGGATTGTATGTGATAATTGTATAACCATAACCTTATTTGTTGTAGTAAAAACCATCATGTCGTAAAATACTTTGGTACACTAACCAACTCCTTTGGTTTTGGTGCACCAACACGTTAACCTTTAAAGGTATTTCTTAATGCACTCCCGATTTAGAGGTTGTCATAAGCTTGCAACTGCTATATAAATAACAATCTTGGATAACTCATTAGTGTCTCCAATCGTCACCATGAAGAACTTGAAATGTGCTGTCAATGATCCACTCCTTTCAGCTATGTGTTTATATTGTATGTTCTTCTCCTTGATTTGTCAAAACAAGAACTTGTCTTGTACAATATTTCTTGATGCACTTGCAATTCATTGGTTGTCCAAAGCTTGCAACATGCTAGATGGATGACGATCATCTTGGATAGCTCATGAGCTTCTTCGATCATCGCCATGATAAACTTGGAATGTGCTATATCAATGATCACAAGCTCTTTTCCGCTATGTGCTTAATTGCATATTCTTCTCCTTGATTTGTCAAAACAAGAGCTTGTCTTCTATAGTATTTCTTGGCACACTTCAAATTCATGGGTTCTCATAAGCTTACAGCATGCCAGATGGATAACAATCGTCTTGGATAACTCATCAGTTTCTTCAATGGTCACCATGATAAACTTGAAATGTGTATTCAATGATCACATGCTCCTTCCCAGTATGTGCTTATTTATATGTTATCCTTGATTTTTTAAAACAAGAACTTGCCTTGCAAAGTATTTCTTGATGCACTTCCAATTCAAGGGTTGATCCTAAGCTTGCAGCATGCGAGATGGATAACAATCATTTTGGATAACTCCCATGAGCTTCTTCAATGGTCACCTTGATAGACTCGAAATGTGCTTTCAATGATCACAAGATCTTTTGTGCTAAAGGGTTTATGTATGTTCTTCTCCTTGATTGTACACTAGGGTAAAGTTHGVAAAGATTCTATTGTAAGAGTTCATATTCACGTCATAATGTTTGAAGTTTTGCCTTTTAAACAACTTTTCCTTGATAGACTCGAAATGTGCTTTCAATGATCACAAGATCTTTTGTGCTAAAGGGTTTATGTATGTTCTTCTCCTTGATTGTACACTAGGGTAAAGTTYGWAAAGATTCTATTGTAAGAGTTCATATTCACGTCATAATGTTTGAAGTTTTGCCTTTTAAACAACTTTTCCTTGAACGATATTAAGGTGTCTGAAGCTTGCTTTGCAAAAGTTGCTCATTGCTACCTTCTCAACGACTTCATCATCCATTTCATCTCATGATGAGTAAAATAAAGAACTTTATTGTCTTTTATCATGATCGCTCGACGAGCACTCGTTTATGTTTTGCTTGCATTTGTATCAAAGCCCAAAACCTATTCTCCTCAATAATTTATGAATGAAAACATAACATACTAAAATAACTACATGAATACTCCCATTGAAGTATGCATCAAAAAGATTCGGCGAAAAACTACCCAAAATATATGTGATAGAATCACCTCCATACTTGATACAACAAAAGGTGACTTGTCACATGATCAAAATTTTCAAGAAACACAGATACAAGCGAGATCTCGTTATCTTCACTAATGCACGTTAGATGATTTGAAGTACATGTTCGTGATTTATGAATGGTGAATATGATATTTGACACATCATTCTAACTCGGTAAACCATAGGTTATAATATTTTATACATGATTTACATCTAAGATGAGTATTGTATCCAAGACGAAAGCATCTTAGATGTTATACCAAATAGAAGTTAGTTCATCCAAGATGAAAGTACATTAGAATACTTCCCACCAAAAAAGATAAGTATCTTTCCGATGACGGGAAGCGACAGGTAAGGACTTCCTTTCATGACAATCACTCTAATAGTGGTGTTAGTTAATAGGAGAAGATAGAGTGCTTTGCAAATAGCTTCAAGAACGAAGACGGTATTCTTGATTGTAGACCAAAATATGCACTAAGGATGCCTTTAAATACTTACAAAACAATCTATGAATTCCTAAGCTTGTGTCATATTCCAAAGACAAGAGCATCTAAAAACCAACAAAAAATACGGTAATTAACAACCTACTAAGTATATGAAACGCTAACCAATATTTAGTTGAAAACTATAACATCAAAATTAAGTAGACAAAAAAGAAAAGGGATTTGGAGAATAACAAAAGGAACCACAAAGTGACACCCTAGACGGAAGCTTCAAAAGTTGTGCATGATCACTCAAAAAAGAAACATTACACACAATATTGTTCCTCCATCTCCACAACCAAGAATCACAACCTATAAATAGTATAACTAAAGATAATATTATCCTGACAACACATGTAGATTGTTATCCAAACAACAACAAAAATATGTTGTAGGTGACAAAGAAGGCATGTAAGAGGAAGTTAGAAGTTACATAATTGAGGTTGCTTAGATAGTCCCATGACCGGACCATGTTAGGCATACTGAATGAGGTTCTTCAGGCTGAGTTGGGAGTTGTGCCCAACATAGAAAAGTTGAGAGGGAAGATTGGATGGTTTAGACAGTTTATAGCGACTACAACACAGTGAGGAGAGTGCTAGTAGAAAGCATGATGGTCGAGGGGGAGGGATTGACTGAGGAGGACGTGAGAAGAGCAATTGATGAATGATGAGAACGGTCCAAGGATTTATGACCTCTTATAGGAGTTCTTGCTAAAGTAGGACTAAGGTAAGATACCAAGTGTAGGGAACTTTAGTTAATGTGGATGGGATGAAGAGAGTACAGAGGCTGAGGGTGGGATAGGGGAGGGTTAAGGAGCTACAGGGTAGGTTATTAGAGCCATGCGAGAGTTGGAGGGATTTGTGTTTTTTGTCGCATTTTATGTTTCAGTGTGCCTATTTTTTCTTTGTTTTTTTTGTTGCTTACTACTTACTAGCCTCAGCTCTTATTTCCTTTTCGCTCACAATTTGGCACAAGTCAGGGGTCTTCAAGGAAACTATCGCTCTATCCTTTGGAATAGAGGTCAAGTCTGAATATATCTCACCCCTCACCCCTCCCTTTGGTTTGGTTTGGTTATAGATACTAAAACTTATCATAATATTCTCTAACATTATTTTTTTGCATTAAGCTTACTTTACCCATCAATCATCCCTCCATTTAGTAAGTTTCTACCTCAAATATGGAAGTACTAAAAAACTGACACAAAAAGCATTGCAGTAATATTCATACACCAATGCTTGTTTGATGTATCTTGGAGGTGTAGATAAAGACCAAAGCGTTGAGACATATAAATTAAAAAATTCTTGCTGCCCCTTCTTTGTATTCGCTTGAGATGCTAATGATGCCGACATTGGAAGTGGTTGACTAACGATGTCAAGTGATGATGACACTATGTAACGAGCAACTTGCAACATGATTGATGAGGACTTGTGACGACACAATAAGATGCTAAAGGCAAAGCCAACTAGAGTAGCCAAACCATAGAGATCTGGGTGTTTTATTTATGCAAAGCATAAAAACCAAGTTCGTTTCTTTGTACTTCCTAGAACCTACCTTCTAAATAAATTTCTCATACATATTTATATCATTCCCACAAGTTACAACTCCAACTTACTAGTAGCAACCCTTTCATTTCAACTGCAATGAATTGTCCTCCAAGCTATCTGAACATGTCGTATTTAACAAATTCTGCATTTCAGCAACTCTTTTTTCTTAATCCTTGTGCATACATAGGCTTCTCCGTATGAAATGAGCAATTTATATTTATTTCCTCTTTTCTTTTAGTAGTTAATCATTGCTTTTTTCTTTTCAACTATCCTATAAACTATGTCCCTTTTTTGTTATTTCGACTACAGTATCCCATTCGCAAGCCATTTTCTATTCAACTATCTAATAGTATCAAAACTGTGAGACTATAAATCCTTTTGTATCTCCAACGAAAGCTCCTCTATTGTTCTAAGCTACCATGAGACTTCAATCAATTACTGACATTGTCGAGTTAATTGGGGGGGGGGTGTATCTTTTACACCTGGCTTTCTATAAGATCAGCCCTTTTCCCTTCTGATTGTAAATTACCTTGAGCAACAATCACTAGCCATTTCTAGATACCAAAAATGTTAAAAGAATTGTTTTTTGTTGATGGAACAAATGTAGGACCACAATGAAGGTCAAGAAATTGTTTTTATCAAGCATAGATAAAAACTATTTGAATTAGATGGTTTAGAAGGGTAAAATCTGTAAAAATTTAGGTGATAAACAACAATAATAACAATACCGTAGGTATGGAAGGAGACGCTTCCATGGGATGTCCAGATTAGAAGAGCATGCGTGAACTACAAATGAGAGAATCTTCTGTAGGTAACAAAGAAAGGAGCTGAAGGAATGATGTCAACACCATGAAACTGATTGAAAATGGCATGCCTATTAATCATTCTAGCCCTCATTTCCCATTTCTAGCATCTTAGAAAGCTAGACGTTTGCATGAAGATGATTAGGCCCTAACAAGTACATCAGAATCCCTCATTAACCAATACATGAACCCCATGAGCAACATGCTCAACTTCCCAACATTAGTATTTTTCAGTCCCTCTTGATTTGTTACATGAGTTATGAACAAGAAATCAATATCCTAGCACACTAGAAATAACTTGTCAGAAAACATGTAACAAATGTTCAGGGTGTTTGTGTTTCAGTCATCAAATTAGAGATTTCACACAACATCAATGTGTTGGGCATAGTGACAGCTGCAGCGACAACCAATACAGTGGCTCAAAAATTACCACCTAGAGCACTCAGATCATGCCATTCAAGAATGAGATTTGAGAGAAGCTTGAGAGAGAGAAAAATGGCAAATAAAGTAAATAAAGGAGGGATACCGACCAATATCTACGGGACTCCAAGAGTCAAAGATGTACGTCAACCAACTTCTGAGAGAAACCAAATAAGAACACCTAGATACTGACTTGCTTGTATCTTTTCAATAGTATACAAGCCAATCTACATGCTCTTAGCATCATATTTATAGTTCCTATGTATTCAGGATTTCATGACAGGCATGATGTGTTCACCCCATGTGAATTTCCATAATTGTACTAGATTCCTTATGCTAAAAAAACGGGTTACCTTCATCACACACAACAATTGGCAAATAATCGTATGAACTAATGCATGAGAGAGAGAGAGGTAACTGGAGGAAAGAAGGGAAGGGAACTGGTTATAGAAAATGGAAAGGAAAGAGGAACCTTACCTTGAGATTTCGCACTTGGTGTGGACATCCTGCAGGAATAAAAACTGCCTCTCCCAGCCTTTGTTCAAATGTCCAGGGTTCTATACCTAAAGATTAACAATCATCTCATTACTTACAGTTTATGAAAATATATGGCAGAAACAAACTTGGTAACTACTAACCATATTCCTCTTTTAGCCTCCTTTTATGCTCCAATGTCAGGTAAAAGGTTTGATCATGAATTGGGTGATAAACCTGCACAAGACCACTCAAGCCTCAAGGGTTACGCCAAAAAAAATCTTGTAGTATATGTTAGTTGATTACTACAAAATTTCAAGAAGTAAGCAATATGAGAATTATTTTAAAAAATCCACATCTAGCAAATTGTATGCAGACATACTTGATCAACAGGACAGCAATATGTATGTCGAAATTCTTTGGAGTGCTTCCTTAGATATTCCTGTAACTTTGGCACGTCTGCTCGTCGGAAGATGTCCCAAAGAGCACTACCTGTTTCTTCTGCATATTCTTGTGGAGAAAAATCACGCAAACTGCATGCAGTATGTTTATCCACTGAAACTCCACTTGGTTGATTCCTCTTAAAAGCTTCTTTGGTTGTGCTTACAACATGATCAGACTCTTCCCCCTCGTTTGAAGAAGTACATTCATCTTTCTTTACGCACAATTCATCAGCACATCTAGAAAATATTCCACTCCTCTCACTTTCATCTTGAGCTCTGTGTCTTCTCTTTAACTCTCTTATTGCTAACTTCTGATTATCACTTCTTGATACTTCAGCGGTGTGTGTCAATACATTCACCTGGCAACAATAGATACATTAAAGCTGATACATGATGATGGTGACATATGCTATGTATATTTAGGAATGACAAAGAAAATATGAAATCATACGGCATCTGACATATCACAATGAAGTTTAGTCACGGAATCCCCTCTTCCGAGTTCTTCAGCTATTCCGTATGCAATATATGTCTTTGGACCCAGATCAGGTTTAAGGACACTTGGTGGTAACTTGACAGCAAGATTTAGAAACCCTGCCCTTGGATCAGTATACACTGGGAAAGGCAGTGCACTAACAAATTCATCACAATGACGTGGTAGAAGGTCCTCGAACTTATCAGACGGGGGCCAATCCTTCAGCTTGAGCATCTCCGGCCAGGAATTCACATATTGTCTTCCCTCTATATAACCTTTAAAAAATTTCCTAGTACTGATTTCAACCTGCATATTCCAAAAAAAGATGGATTTCAAAAAGCCAACGACTCAATAGAGTACAAAATAACATGTTGTCCAGTCATTAATTTCCAACATAGATACCACTTCAAATGAAAAAATAGAAAACAATATTAGATTGGTCAATACTTCAAAGGTGAGCTACTTGCCAAGGAACATTTGAAATAAAAAGTAATAGTTGGCTGCAACACCACCACAAAAGAGAAGCCAGAATTACCTCACAATCAGCCAAGCAGTCTATAGCCTTCACTTGTGACATCTTCGAACTGACATTTGGGTCCAGATGCTCACATAATGCACGCCACATAACCATGGGCTCCCAGCTTAAACCAGTTGTTTGCTCTAAGACCTTCCTGACAATTACTGGTTCACCTTTAGACCAGTGGCTACGAAAGCGAATGAGCTCCTCGCCTGTTAGGACATCTTCAGAAGCAGGCCAGTACAGGTAGTTATCATCTGATTCTTCTCTGTTGGCCGCTTTGAGATATGTCTTGCCACCAGTTGTGAAAGAATTTGGTAGAATGCTTGGTTGATCAATTCTTAGTTTATTCAATATACCCTCTGCTTTTGCTTCCAAGGTTGAAATCCAGTCCTTTTGTAGGATACGCTTGAGCTCCAATACACAGTCACCGCATCCACCCATTTCTTTTGGGGCGCAAAACAAAATCCCATCATCTTCAGCTACCCAGTTAATCACGGGATCACAGCGGCTAGTTGGATTATTTTCATGAAATGAATCTTGTACCAGGTCTCCCCCATGAATATAATCAAAACCTCTATCAAAGTACCCAAAGTCTACTTTTCTTTGACTAAGAAGATCATTTTTCCGTATCTCACGACAGCAACTAAGGCATAGCTCGTATGAACATTTTGGACAACTTCGATGAAGATCAATGATCGATGTTGAACAGTGGTTACTGCTCCATGAAAACAATGGGCACAGAATTAAAATAGTTGAAAACAATTTAGTCATTTACTTATATAGAGATATTTACAAGAAAATTACCAATAGACACGTTCATCGTTGTGACAGCTAGTCTGCCCTATTGTAATTGAAGACTCAGATACACCTGAATACCACAGGAGCATCTTCACTTAGTTACAAAAATTTATATCAAATGGAAAAGAAGAGGTCATCCAGATTTGCTTTTCAATGATTACCTTGAATAAGCGCTTCCACAGTTATCTCCTCAAGTTGTTCTTCACGAATTTGGGTCAGAAATGGGAGGAGTGAGTTAATTAGATAGTGAAGATGCTGCAACTTCTCAGCATCAGTGAGATCTATATTTGACATCTGGTAATCAGAAAGTGTCAAAATAAGATGGTTAGAACATGACCTTCTGGCTTCTATGACACTTTCCTATTTGCAGAACACAGAGCGAACCTTAAAATTTGAGTGTAAGCACAAGTTGCAATTGCAGTTTCCACGGCAAAAGGGGCATAATTCTGCAATATCTTCTTCTGAGAATTGAGGATACCTGTCAAGAAATAGAATTGTTGACAAGGAAGACATTATCATGTCACATTAGGACCAAGAAACTCAAAACTGGAAGACATTATCATGTCACATTAGGACCAAGAAACTCAAAACAGTAAGGACTAATGCTTTGAAAGGGGGGGGGGGGTGTCAGTACGGTTACCATTGCTTGATGCACTGGACACAGTATAGTGTTTCTTTACATTCAGTGCAGGGAACAACGATCTTTCTATCATTTCTCTTACATTGATGACACTTCAAACGCTCCTTTCCATTTTTCTTATCCTGGTAGATTTAGTGCTGAATATGAGAGAAAACCTACCAAATATATATGTGAAGAGGGTCAAAGAGAGAATATGTACCTTCATGTTGTTAGCGGTACTAGTACTGCCACCTGATGAAGCAGAATTACAATCCCCTGATCCCCTTGGTCTTCTTTTCATTTTTGTATCATTTGAACTACTGCTTCTACTAGGATTAGATTTCACAAAAGACATTTGTTTTTTCTCTTCTATGAATTCAATATCAGTTTCCACTTTCCTGTCTTTCAAACTTCCATTTCTCTCAACATTGTTCAACTTATGACGTTCCACTGATGCCGAAAATACATTTTCATCTTCAATCTCATCACCAACACCAGCATTGTTGTCTTCTTCTTCTACCTCATCTTCACTGGCGTATTCATTTTCTTCTTTATCATCTTCATTGGCGTACTCGCTTTCTTCTTCATCATCTCCATTGATGTATTCGTTTTCTTCTTCTTCATCTTCCCATTCCCCATAGTAAAAACCATTTTCAACAAGTTTGTTCTTATCAGAAACAGTACGACGCCTTCTCGAGATCCGTTCATCATGTGGGCTACTATTAACATCATTTTGTTTGCTCTGTTTGCAATCCATGAGTTCCTCTTCCTCTTGGTTTTCTTCCCAGTAGCTAGTTCTTGCGGATTGCTTACCATTTGAAGTTTCTTTCTTGTTTGAATCACCTTTGCTTTTTTTTGAGGTTAGTTTTTCATTTGAAGCTCTGCAATCTTTAGCCTGCCTTCCTTTATATTTTGTAGGTTTTGATCTTCTACATGATGAATAAAGAGTGAAGTCGTCATAGTCATCTTCTTCCTCATTATAATCCGCATCAGAGTCACTGGCATCATTTTTGACATTCACAAAAGTTTTCTTGCTTGAGGAGCATTTTGATTTCCCGTAAAATCTTTTGATTCCACAAGTTCTTGCTGTCTTGATCGAATTTTTCGTGTGTGGTATGAGTGAGTCCTTCCTGATTTGTACATCTGCTTCATTCTCTTCAGATTCACCAGAAAAACATCTTTTGACGGAACTACTGTCATTTGGGATGATGCTCCGACCACGAGAAGTTTTAGTTTCTTTCTGGATAGGAGTTCTTGTCCTTTTCATTGACAACCCCTGATCATGCCCTTTTTGAGAATTCATGAGCTCTTGGACCTTTCTCTTTCTTCCATGTCTAAGAGCACTGGCCGATACTTTTTGTTTCACATTCATTTCCGTAGTAGTGTATCTACTCACTTGATTTTCTTTTTGAATTAGCACCTCCATCTTTACTGCCAAAACAAAAATTGCACAAATCACATTTAGAAAAACGGAAACAGCCAATAGCACTGGTTCATCCAATACATGGACGATGAAATCAACAATTCTTCTAAGGTGCACAACCGATTAACAAATCATGTATTGCTTTTCTTTTTATTTAAAACTGAACCCTAATTGAATTGGAAAAATTCTGTAATTCTTTCACAATCAATGTATGGCATGCTATCATTCTTGTTATCAGACATCCAATATTGGAGTTCACTGACTCGCCCAATCAATAAAACTTGATTTTGAAGTGGATTTCTAAATCATTGACCATGGAAGCATCAATGATACAATCTGATACAATGCATCAAACATTGTTAAATCAAGTAACAGAAATCTGGAAAATAACTTTGTTAGGTCACATAAATCAAGGAAAATTAGTTATATAATTGGATAAAGATAATTTACACCAATGTTATATAAACATCTGAATGCATAGGCATCATTAGACAAAGATATCCTATGAGGTTTTGAGCAGCTAGAGTATAAAGCCAAATTGGGTATCATTGAGAACCAAAAGATACTACATTTGAGGAAGAAACTACAACTTAAAACTTTCCCTAACAGTAACTTGGAGAGACCAGATCAAACCAGCCCAGTATATCTCACCCAAAAGTATTATATGTTGACTTGGTAATTATTATTTTTGTCTCTCCAAACCCAAAACTCAATGTGAGTGTTTATGAATGAACCAACAGTGATTCTGCAAGACATTGCACCAACCTCAAGTAATATTGTCTTCAAGTTACTTTCTTGATCCATATCAAATGGGTTATGAACATTTTCTAGAGAAACCCTCCAAGTGGCCTCAATGTGAAGACAGCAAAAATCTCACCCTAGGTAAGGTTTCTGGACTCTTTCTAAAAGAACTTCTGTAGAAAAAAATTATAACTGCATACACTTTCTAGCAACTAAGAGAGAAAAAAAATACCAGATTCAAATAATAATAAAGGAAAACGACCACAACAAAGCGCTTTAAAACTAAAATAGGATGGTTGACTCAGGTCAACTTCCCGAGTCAACGAATCAAATAAACCCAATGCATATACATTCAAACACAGTCTCGCCATTTACAGGTTAAATCGGCGAAATTTCAATAATTGTTCAGCTTGCACCCACCTTTTCCATACGATGAATCCCAAATTCTCAAACTACGTGTACAAAATTACTCGCATTTATGTATAATCGATAAAAAAAAAACCATAACAAAACAAAAAACCCCCGATTTTAACTAGATGATATCGAAAAGAATATCAACGAAATTCACTCACCAAAATCGTGAAATCGATTCGATTTGAGCGCTCGAAATCACGAAAAGGGGAATGATCAATGGAAGAAACAACAAGAAGATGAGATAGTCTGAAGCGGAAGAGATTAATTGTGGGTAAAAGGCGTTAGGTCAAAAGTTGAAGAAGAATTCACATTCTGGAATCGTAATCTTGGTGTTTATGTTTGAGAGAGAGAAAAACAGAAAGGATACCATCAAATTTGGAGAATTTTTTGTGAGAATCTGCCAAATTTAGAGGATTTATATATATATTATAATTGAATGTCAACATTTACACAATACGAGATTAAAAGTGATTAGGGTTTAAATTTATTCTTATACTTAAAAGATTCAGATCTATTTTCATACTTCTTACCATAATTTCGGGGTCGTTTACTAAACATTTGCTCTTGTAAACGTTTATCAAATTACATTATCTCATCGAATGAATATGATAAGGACTAAGAATTTTACCTGGTAAGAACGAGACAAAGACCATGAATTTTACCCGGTAAATGATGGCGATCAACTCTTATCACGGTAAGCGTTTACCGGATGAATTGTTGCATACAGTGTCGTTTTGATGAACTAAAATCTTGCTCATTAAATAATTAATAGTGTTAAATTTTATTGATAAACACTTACTGGACAAATGTTTGGTAAACGACCCCTTCATGTCTCACACGATCTTTCATGACATATGTTAAAATAAGAGAGGGGGGGTAAAAATATTCAAATTTGAATAAATCTCTAAAAAAAACTCCATGTTAAATAAGGAAATTATATTTTATTTTATTTTTCTCGGAGATATTGAAATTAATTGTTTAGGATAAAAAAATAATATTTATTAAATATATTAAATATTTTAATAATATAATTAATTATAGAATTGTTTAAATAAAGTAGTTGTTGGAGTTAGATCTAATTTTTTTAAAAATTTTAACTTTTGATATTTTATTTTAGAAAAAAATTATAAATTTATAACATAGATGTTGGAGATGCTCCTAGGGTTTGTTTACACAAACTTTACCCGGTGTTTATCGGTGAAATTCTAGTTCTTCAAAATGGTATCATATGTAATAATTTAATCAGTAAGTACTAACCGGGTAAGAGTCGTCACCTTCACTTATCAGATAAGATTCTCGGTCATTATTATCACTCTTATCAGATAAAATTCTCGTTTTTTTTTGTCATGTCTATCCGGTAAGATAAATAACCAGATAAAACTTCTATTGATGAACTTCCAAAAGACGTAGATTACTGAAAGAGTGAGTCAAAAAACTCGGAATATCGAAATTAGAAACAGGACCAAGAAAACAAACGAGTTTTGAATATATTGATATTCAGTATTTTATAAACTTATTTTATTGTATTTTGAATTTTTGTTAAAATACTAATATCGATAATTTGTTGAGTCTTAATTGTTTTTCCCTTCTAGTTCCGGTCCCTCGTTAAAGTGGGACCGGTCCCTTGACTGGCCCGAAACATTTTTTTGAACTTTCAAAATACGTTTTTATTAAAATTCAGCTTCATTTTGACTTATTTTTACAATTTTATAATTTTGTTTTCAGCTCGTATCTAAAAACCGAGGCATTTGAAATATTCGTTTAGTTTTGTTTCTGTCTTCAATCTTCGTTCTTTGTTTTATATCAATTTCATTATCCTTATCGCCAATTTCATCTTCAAAACGATGGTTTATAATGGTGATGGTCGATGGTGGTTCAGATCGGTTGTGGTCGACAGTAATTTAAACCGGCGGTGGTCGGCAGTGGTTCAGATCGCTGGTGGTTCAGAATGGTGGTCGGTAGTGGTTCATAACAGTGGTGGTTGGCAGTGGTTTAGATGAAGTTCATATGAGTCTAGGTAAATCAAGTAGGGAAGATGAGGATAATTTTGTCTTTTTTAAGAAAATAAGATGAAAATAGAATTGAATTTCTTTACAATTGATGTTCAAGAAAAAGCCTATTAATTACATGATATCAAAACAATATACAAGTGAATGGGACTCTAAATAGTTTTGCCCATACCATGTCTTTTGGTAGTCCAGTAGATTCTTATGTGGCACAACCTCATCTGACTCAAATGCTTATGTGGCACAACATCATATGACTCGGATGCTTACGTGGCACAACCTTAACAAAGCGGAAAAACCGCAAACTTACCCTATCTTCCCGACATCAGTTGAACTAAATCTTGATTTTCGTAGAAAGAACCGAGGTCCCAATCCTCGGTCGACGATGAAAGTGTCATCAACGCAACCACGATCGACCTCATGCTTGGCCTCAGTTGCGGGTTTTCATGTGTACAAGCTCTAGCAAGCTGCGCTACCTGCAAAATCGACGTTAAAGATTCAAACTAACGACTTTTATAGTCATCTATTCCATACACGCTCCTATCAGCCGAATAAAAATCTGTTGTCCCCAAATTTCCTGTCTCACCAATCACGTGAATACATGTCATTATTTTATAAATAATATAAATTTACTTCAGTCTATCTTTTATTCTCTCCCCTCACTAAAATGATGACGTGGCTTTACGTAATTGGTGGAAAACAGGGGTGGACAACATGTTTTCGTTCCTCTCATGTGGCATTTTTTTTGGTTATTTTTCTTATTCACCTTGCGGACCGAGTCTAGAGGGTAATCGGCTCCAAGCCTTGGGTCGACCACTTTGCGTAAACCTTCACCTGGATCGGACGCGCTTAAGACCTCCTCAAACTACAAAAAGAACCCCGGAAACAACTAAATTTATGACAAAAGATCGGTATGGAGTTCCTTTTTTGTATCCATTTCACGAATAAGTGGGAATATGGAGAAGATTTTTAGAACTAACCAAACCAACAAGTCCCTTGGACTCGGTAACGGAATCGCTTGCTTTAACGATGGCATCTTTAGCGGATATTAGTTCAAATAAAACAACCCCGAAAGCATATACATCAACCTTTGGAGAAACCTCACCATACTGAGCATATCTGCAACAAAATATTTCATTTTAGAAAGACAAAAACATGGTTTGAAATGAAACATCCGCTCTATTCTTTGGGGTAGAGGACACACCTATCACTACAACAGAACTGGCTTTATAGGACATCAAATATGTCTAAATGTCCTAATAGACTGCTTTATAGGACTTAGTTCATGGGACCAAACAATTGTGCATCATATGTAAAGATGTCACTACAAGGTGTTGGGACGTATTTGAACATCCTAACAAGCTTTTTTTAGAACAGTTTTGAAATAAAGTGTCCAGTTAGCTTTTTTATAACAATATTTTTAAGAAAAATCCCATGAAACAGGACACTTGTTTTAATAAGACACGTAAATAATGTCATATAAAAATACTAATAAACTTTAATTCTATAAAGCACTCTATTAAGACATTTAGGCATATTTGACGTCCTATAAAGCTAATTTTGTTGTAGTGTGCGTACATCCTACCTCGAGACTCCACCTACTGGACTCGTTTACTTTGATTTTTATGGTCTAAAACGAGTTTGGTGATATTCGTAGATACAAGTCAAAGCTTACTCTGGAGGCATGTATCCAAATGTGCCAACTAAACGGGTTTGTAAAGAACCGCTCCCGACTTCGGTGAGTTTTGTCAGCCCAAAATCGGCAACCTATGGAATCATAATATTTAGTCTTAAAAATCTGATATTATTGAAAGGAGATTTTACTTTATGTTTTCGTTTCTCTAACCTTTGCACGAAAGTTTTGATCGATTAAAATGTTAGCAGACTTGATATCCCGATGGATGTACATGGGAACTGTGTGCTCATGAATGTATTCGAGTCCTCTAGCTGAATCAAGAGCGATTTGTACCCTCGTATCCCATGGAACCGGCTGCCTCCCTGAAAACGTTACAAGTTTGTAGTTAAAAAACAAGATAAGCAAAGGAATATTTTCGGTTTCTTTGTCTTCTCCTTACCCGATGAACCACGCAAATGTTGACTCAAGTTGCCATTATCGATAAACTCATAGACCAAAAATAATGATTCTTCGACGCAATATCCTATCAAACGTACCTGCAAAATCACGATAACTTCATTCAATTGCTAACTAGACTTGATGAACTTCAAAATGTTTGTAAATAGATATTCCAAAATGCACATATCCGGTCGTATCCATATAGAATTTTATGTGATTTGTATTGTATCCCGTATAAAGCAAGTGCAGATATAGAGACACAGTAACAGCTGAACTGTCGAATAAAGGCTAGGCCTCCTCATGGTCGCTGGTTCGAGTCTCCTTAGGGCCACTGCGATTTCCTGGTTGTTATATTCAGGGCCCCATGGGATTAGTCGAGAGTGTGCCCGGACACCCACGGATTTTATATATAGATAAGGTCATAGTGGGAGGTTCACATAAGACTAAAGATTGTGAGAAGGTAAGAAGGTATGGTTCATATGTGAATCATTGACAGAATTCATTTGAAGATGCATACATGAACCCATATGCATAATCTGTAACATCGATTCACATATGCATCATCAAATAGATTTTTTTTCGGATTCTTTTTCATTGATAAATATATTTCTAGACGAGAAGCGAAGAAACAAATTTGTGCATGATCTTGAGAATTACCAGGTTCAAATGATGAACATGTGTTAACACTTTCAATTCAGCAAGAAATTCTTTTGATGCTTGCATATCCATCTTCTTTATTGCAGCTTTCTGCACTTGTTGAAAGCAAAACCATCAAGTCATGTAGATGAAGGAACACAAGCTTTCGAATATGTCTGAACAAGTGGTACAATCATTCCTCGAGTCATTAAAGTGCCAAACATGCAATTTGTGAGTCAAAGGTCAAAGTATCAAAAAGACTGTTTGGCAAATTAGCTGATAAACTAGTCATGTTTGGTAAAAACTAAGATGACCATGTAAAAAATGACCTAAATGGAATGTTGAAAAATAATTAATTAATCCATAAGTATAACTGGAAATAAGTGAAAAAAAGCCCTTGGAGCTTATTGAAAAAGGCATGTTCCTTGGAGCTTATTGAAAAGCTATCTACAGTATCTTTCTAAAAAGCTAGCTTATGGCTTACCAAACAGACCTTTTTCAATAAGCTCAGAAGCAAACTTATGGTTGTCAAACATGACCAAAATGTAGCCTTTGACTTTTGGTCAACATCCTAACTCCTATAGAACCCAAGTTGGTCTATAAACCAAACCAACAAAACGAACCAAATATATCCAACCTTGACCTCTACCACAAAGAGTAAAGTTGGTTTATCTAATGACATAAATTGTTCAAGATTTTCAAATCGGGTTTTAGAAAACAAGTGTATGATCATCAAAGACACAAACCTCGCCTCTGAGCTCTGCATAATAAACGGCTCCAAAACCACCTTGACCAATCTTATTAGCCAGGCTAAAGTCATCCGTAGCCTTGGCAAGCTCCTCCAATGTGAACTCTACCGACTTGTCCACGGTTATACCCACCACGCGTTGCGGTGCACCACTGATAAGAGGGCCTGATTCTGTGGTTCTTCCCAAGTTGCTACCTGAACCTGCATGCACAAAAGGAATATATAGATTTCACCAATTTAGCATTGCAGCAGCTTGAAGAAATGCAAAACCAAACAACACAAACCCAATATATCCCACCTAAAGGTGGGGCCGGGGAGTGTAAGATGTAGGCGGACCTGACCTGACCTCTACCACGAAGAAATGCAGAAAGCATACTCCAAAAGAAGTGTCCACATTTCTATTTTAGTTTGTCCCACAATAAGTGTCCACATTACCAATTGTACCCTTAATTATGAGATGTAGAAATTCATTAATCCCTCTATTATTAAGGGTAAAATTGTCTTAAAAAAGTGTGATGATTACATACTTCTAAAATTGTGTCTTTTTCATTGTGGGCATTTATTTTGAGACGGATGGAGTATCAAAGATGTTCAGTCTAATAGATGTTTGAAGAAAAAACAAAATTCCTAGGTTACCATGAAGGTGCTCGGTTCCATTTTCATCGAGTAATGACCCTTTCGCTATCCTCTTCCTTCTGTAAAAGCCAAAGTAGAAGCAGATGCCTAAGAGAAGGGCCACAGCAACCGCTCCAACAGCTATACCAGCAGTGGCACCACCAGATAATCCTTCTTGAACCACCACCACAAAGTACGTCAGATATACCATCAAGAATCGGTTGACATTTCACATTTAACTTATAATTGAAAAAAAATTAAAGATTCATCAGGTGAATAGGCAAAGAAGACAACCTCCTGTGCTGCAAAAACAAAAGGATGTAATCAGAAAATAAAGATGGAGAAAGTTCCGGTAAATAGGTGCGCATAAAGGGGTTATCGGTTTACCTTATCTTCAATGGTGGAAAAGTTCCGTTTTGATCTGTGACAAGAAAATTAATGAGCGAAAAGTCACAAGTAATAAACCAAACCAAACAAACACAGCACATCCCACTAGAGATCCTACGATGTACGCGGACCTTAACTCTGTCCCAAGAGACAGAGATTGTTTCTTAGAAGACCCCCATCTTGCAAAATATTTAGTAAAAGATACAGAAAGCACAACTTTAAGCCACAGATATGAAAAAGATTTGTTTAAGACAAATTTGTAACAACCTCTCCCACATGGATAAAAAAGTAGATTTGTGAGCTCCTTATAAGCTCAAGCCTCAAAGTCGTGAGCTATCAATAACTTCCACCATGGTTTTAACGGGCACATATTTGTTTTTACTTCTTTCCAGTTTCCACTTCTGGATTATTGATTCAGCAGCCTTTCAAAACAAGAACATAAAGCCCCAAACGGAAAGCTAAACTTTATGGAGATAGATCGAAAGGCCATGTTTGGCAACCACAAGTAGCTTTTTTTAGAAAACTACTTCAAACAGCTTATTGGGTTTTTCTTTCACTTTTTTCCAATTATGCCCCTTTAATTTTACATAAATGGTCCTCACATTTTCTTTTTAGGCCATTTCACATTGTCATATAAGTTATCAACCGGTTTTTGTTTTTACCAAACATGACTAGCTTATCAGTCAACAACTAATTTATCAAGCAGTTTGCCAAATATAGCCTAAAATTCAACTTGATCTTAAACTAATCAAAGAAGTGAAAGACAACAAGAATAATATCCGATTCAAAAATGGCCTTTGATGAATGAAACAATGCTTTCCGTATTTTGGGAGGTCGTTGAGTCGTTTTACTACTTTTTACTTCACTCACATAGTTGCTTTCTAGGTAGGCCTTAATCGTTTCCATGCTAGAATCAACTATTGTAGCTCATGCAGCAAAACCATCTTAGACGAAAACTAAAATAGACCATCCATGCTAATAAAATCGAACTTCTATACGATCTAAGTGTTGAAGTCCCACCTCAGCTATACATAGACCATCAAACTTGCGCGCACGCATGTGTGTGTGTATATATATATATATACATGAAGGAACCTCCTATCTCCTTATAAAGAGCTTTTTTAGAAAGAAATTCAAAGGGATAGTGTTGGAAAAATCATTCATCAAAGCAAAATCTAGTCTTTTCTACAGCTATGATGGCAAAGATTCAACTTAATTCATACAGACACCTTAATCCATACATGATTTTCTACATTTTATTCAGCACAACAACCGAACAACAAATTAGCTAGATCTATAATGACAACTTTACGCATCCGGGACTCAATGGTAAACCAACCGCACAACCCCTTAATGGAAAACCAACCAAGCAGCCTCTTATAAGTAACCTTGTCAAATATGAGAAGCAAGAATCAGACATGAAAGAATGCATGATTTGGAACATAACAACTCTTCTTACCTCTTCCAGGGATGAACACCAACTCACCATTACTGAAATTCGATCCCGGATTGTAATCCCTCAACAAAATTTCATTCACCCCAGTTCCATTAGCAATTGTGGACAAACTCTCACCGCTTTGAATAGGATAGGTGATGAACAATCCGTAATCCTTAGAGACACGATTATTCCCACAAGAACAATTCACCATGACATTTACTTGACTACCTAAAGGTATACGTAATGCATCATAGGTATTGAAATCCCTCAACATATTTACAGTGGTGAGGTTCGAATAATAAATCCCTGCAATTCTTGAGTAGGCATCCCCTGAACTAGCATTATAAAGAAACCGATGGCTCAGAAAACCTCGATCATTACAGCTACACGAAAAGGGTACATTTACTCTTGTACCATCATGAATTACGTCTGGATTTGTGAGGTTGGGGTTATAACTTCGAATTTCTGGGATTGTTCTGGAAAATAATTGGGATACGTATGTTAGATTTGAAGGACTCCGCACGGTGTATGAAGCCAAAGCAACACATTCACCTTTACAACTTGATTCGACTCCATTAACGATCACAAATAACATCAGGAATTGAACTAGAGATTTGATTGTTTTCCTAATTTTTATTTCCATGGTAGGAAATGGAACGAGTTGAAGGAAATCGACGACACCCAGAGAGGGATTGGTGTGTTAAACTAGCATGAACTTGAAGAAAGTTTAGAAACGAAAACAAAACTAGGAATGGAGATTATGTTGAATTAGCATGAATTTGAACTAACTTAGAGAAAGACTAACAATACCCAGATGGAATTTTGCTTTGAATTAGCATGAACTGGAGCTAATTTGGAGAAACTAAGACCACCCAGATGAAAAATCAACACAACTCTTGCTAACGTGAAGGAAGAATGAATACCCAATGCTAAACAGGGTTTATCTAGCCCAACAACATGGTAATGGAAGTAATTGAGAAGGCCAAGTCAACACAGAACGAAGACTTTTTGGATTCGAATCGTTGATGAATGAGTCTCTGGTTTGACGAAGAAGGATAATTTGGTTGGGTTACATATCAATGGAGAGGTAAAAGGGAAATATTGAGAGGTAAAAGGGAAATATTAGAATTCAAAGTAAAAACATTATAACACTAAATCCAATAATCTGGATAATACAATGGGCTATTATGGTTATCGCTTATTTCAACACGGTTTGGTGTGATTTGGGTGTGATTATCATACAATTAAGATTCAATTTAGCTAGGGTTAACTTAGGAAATCGACTACCGATTTGGTGTGATATATGTGTGATAATCATGTGATATCACTATCATAATAGCGCACTCGATTTGATCATGGTTTCGATCGGTTAGGGTTAGACAATCACACATTTATCACAACGATTACTCATGGTTTCGACAGGCTTCGATTAGACAATCACATATTTATCACAACGATTACGGGCGAAATCCACTAAACGATTTGGTGTGATATGAGTGTGATAATCATGTGATATCACTCTTATAGCATCACTTGCGCACTCAATTTGATCATGGTTCGATCGGTTAGGGTTAGACAATCACACATTTATCACAACGATTATTCATGGTTTCGATAGGTTATGGTTATACTCGATTGATCATGGTTTCGATAGGTTATGGTTACACAATCACACAATTATTACAAGGGAAGAGAAGAGAGTGGAAACGAATGTGATCAATCCGGGAAAAAAATGGATAACTATAATTATTCAATATAAAATAAAAATTATAAAAATTACTTAATTATATTACTGCCCTTATTAATTTATTTATATTTAATATAAGTTAATTTATTAATTAAAAAGTTTTATGTTATTGGGTTGTTCTCGCGTTTTCGTAAATCACAGTGGTTCTCGTTTGAACCTCCATCGTTTTCTATATTCCACTATAAATCACCAAAAAAGTGGGTCCCAGGAGTCTTCGTTGGTTGAAATCCAATAAGTTTAGATCGATTCGATTCGATCTGATCCGATCATCCATTAGATGTTTTCTTTTTCATCCGATCCAATCCAATTAACGTTGGATATCTGATCTGATCCAAATCCAATGGATGGTTGGATCAGATTGGATTCGTCCAATTTTTTGATCTAATACTCAACCAATTAATCCACTATTTCAACCATTTATTCATATATGTTCTTTAGTTATAAAAAACAATATATATATATATATATATATATAAATATCAACTAAAAAAATCGTAAAATGTTAATAATTATATATAATTACTAATTGGATATCAGTTGGTTAATAATTGGATGAGGAATTGAATGGTCATTGGATTAGATCGGTTTGGTTTTACTGGATGTTGGACTGTCATTCGAGAATCAATTGATCCGATTTGGATGTTGAAATTTTGGATCTGATCCAATTCAATTACAATTGGATATCCGATTATATGATCGATCGGTTCTAATTGGATTGGATGACTTTCTGCATACCCCTAATGGGTCTCATGCAATTTTATTTTTATACATAAATATTACAAAATAATATTTTCAAATAGTTAAATTTGTACCTTTCAAAAGGTAAAGCTACTTCTTATGGGTCGACAATGAATAATAATGTCTCTCTGTGGTTATCTACTATAAAAACATATTGTTTGATAAGTATTTTGAATATATAGTCTGAATGATAAAAATTATTACTGTTATTTTCCAGTTTGATAAATTTATTAGTCTCTGACACCAGGGTTTCAAAAAGTTGCTTGTATTTTCATCATAATTAACCAAATTTAGATTTTCTTTATAATATAATTTTTAATATCTAATAATAGTTGATCATTTTCCAAATTCATCATCCATATTTACTAAATTAGTCAACTAACCTTTGGTTGGCACAAACACTAGTCCTGAACCAGCACTGAAATCGAAACTTGGGTTGAACCGCTCCAATAACAACGGTGGGACCCCTGACTCTTTGGCTAAGGATTGCAAATCTTCTTCTGGCCGAAGAGGGTATGTTGCAAATAACCCATAATTCTTTGACACGTGTTTGTTGCCACATGTACAGTTTACCGTCACGTTAATGTAAGCAAAGTCTGGTATCTGCGTGGGTTCAAACAAGTTGACTCTTTGTACCCAATACTCATTTGTAAGATTGGCAAAAACGTCTCTAGCAACTTTAGCATAAGTATCACCAACTTGTGTTTGGTATTTGAAAGTATGCCCTAAAAAGTCACCGTTCATGCATAGACACGAAAAGGGGATGTCAATTCGGGCCCCGGTTTCAATGCTATCGCCTGTTGAGATCTGGGGATTGTGGCGGAGGATTTCAGGGATTGATTGGGCGAAAATCTTGCTGATATAAGTGAGATTTGATCCTTGTGCGACATAATATGAGGCTAAGGCAAGATCGCAACCTTTGCTACACTTGGATTCGATTTTGACATTGAAAAAAAGAACCCAAAATCCTAATTCTAGTATATGTCTCTTTCTCTTTGAAATATTGTTCATGAGGAAGGAAGAGAAATGTAGAGAGAGAGATGAATGGAGAGGGTTGTATTAGAGAGAGAGAGAGAGATTAACTATAATGCAAATGGGAGAGAAATGAACAATTGTTTAAATGAGAAAGATGGAGAATATATATATATATATAAAGATATATATATATATATATAGAGAGAGAGAGAGAGAGAGAGTGTGTGTGAGGGATTAACTATAATGCAAATGGGAGAGATGGAGAATATATATATACATATATATAGAGAAATATATATATATATATATATAGAGAGAGAGAGAGAGAGAGAGAGAGAGGAGGAGAGGAGAGAGAGGGGGGAGATGAATGATGAAGTTGATTACATGTTTATGTTGTTTGATAGCATAAAGAATTGAGAAGGACTCATGATTGCAAGTATAACCTCATCATTTCTTGTCTTCTATTAATGTTTTTATATGACTCTTGGTTATTATTCTATGCTTTTCAAGAATCAAATCAAGAAAAATATTAATTAATTTTTTTTTTATTAACCTGAATATCCAACCTGTTATACGAGTTGACTAATCCCAGAACGACCATCTGTTTTGCAGATAGCCCGAAGTCACCACATTTGAACCTCCGTGGCCGCAACGGGATTTTTATTCCTCCTTGGAGGAATAATTAGAAGCTTTTTAGAGAGAGAGATTAATAGAGAAATGTATAGAGAAGTAGAGAGAGAGAGAGAGATTAGCTATAATGCAAATGGAAGATGAATATAGAAAGGGGGACGAAGTATAAAAAATTATAGGGTCGTGAAAAGTGTCATTTTATCAATTCATTGTGTGTAATCATATATATTTTGAAACTATAATGATGACACAAGTTTTTCTTGATAGAGTTGGTTTGCAAGACTTTTCTTTCACTCTAGACCCAAGTTTGAATCTCGTCAGTGTCATTTTTTGGTTTTTACCTTTTAATTTTCAGATTTATTATGTTTTCTGAAAGAAAATTGCAATAGACTTGAATATAGAACCACACATATGAAAATAATGAACTAATCAATAGACCAATGATAATTTAGTGAAAAATATACTTATATTTGTTTCTTATAATCAAATTTGGGTCTATCTTGTCAGGAGAAGAGAGAGAGAGAGAGATTATGTATACTGTGTGTATACATATATGTGGGGAGAGAGAGAGAGAAAAGATAGTAAGGAAGTTGATTACATGTTTGTTTTGTTTGATAGCATAAATAATTTAGAAGGAATCAAGAAAAAGGATAACCTCATCATTTCTTCTATTTATTATTTATTTATGGTTCTTCTTATTACCCTCTAATTAACTTTCAAGAGTCAACAATGTACAACCTTTTTTTCTATTAATCTGGTTATCCGATCTGTTATCCGATCTGTTATTTAAGTTGACTAATCCTAGGACAATCACTTATTTTGAGGGTAGCTTGGAGTCACCGTATTTACACATCCATGACCAAAAAGGGATTCTTGTTCTTCTTTGGATTTGGACCTAGAACCTTCAAACACTTTTGATCTTTGGAGTACAAGCTCAAATCAATCAGACACCATCCTTTAGTGTCTGATACAAACTTTTATTTAATTCATGTATATCCACTTATAAAATATTTAAATTAAATTATTACAGAACCCAAGACTTTGGTTTTAAAATATCAAAATTAAATGCATTTTTGGTATCTGATTTTTTTTCTTTTGTCTTATTCTAAATTACTGACAAAAATGTATTTTCAATACATAAAAATTTATCGGTTTCTATCTTGTTTTAAAGTTAATTTTCTGAGAAAAACAGTGTCGATAAAAAGAAAATCGACTTCATCTATGGATGATGATTTGTCCCGACTTCCGACTCACCCGATCTGAATGAGGACGGAGATTCTCCATTAAAACGGGTTCCGGTGACGGAGATCTTCGATAGACTCAAACTAACAGATATTTTCCATGGGATTTGATTGGGGTTTGACCGGGGGAAGGAATGTTAATCCCTAGAGCCGCCAGGGACCGAGGCCAGGGATTACAAAACTCGTCTCATTCCCACCCTCTTGCCATGCCTAATGGTTTGTCCATGAAAATTGAAAACTAGGAGTTAAAATTTAAAGTGAATTATCTATACTATATTATAAAGCATTTGACAAAAACTCTTAAAAATCAATTCTTATGCATAAAGTACTGTTTATTAATGCATGTTACTTAAACTCAAGATTACAAGTAGGTTGTACGTAAGTACAATTTATTAAAGCTCCATATCTGAATTCGTGTAACTAACTGCAGATATACATAATCAAATACATGATAAACATATCATTTTAAATATAAAAAATTTAAAATATAATTAGGATAATCATTGAGTTCTAACAGAATACTTAATTATTATTTTTATAAAAACGTTATATGATTAAACCAAAAATAAATTATTTCATTATTAAACTTAAATTAAATAATAATAATAATAAATAAATTAAAAGAAATTACATAAAAAAATAAGAACTTTTGAATATTTGATTTGATATTAACATTGATATTTTTTTTCCAAATTTTAATGATATCTTCAAATTTATATTTTATTCAAAAATAAAATCATTATTGCTTTCTTAAAAACAAATAAAATCGTATCATAACATCGACAGAGACAAAGAATAACATAGAACATTAAAATCAAGATGTATCTTGCTGCATTGCACGAATACCCTTCTAATATACCAAAACACATGTGCTTAATAAAACGAGTATGTATTAATTATTGAATAAAAAATCAAGTTATAAAACAAAATTAAAATAAAGACATAATCATCAAACTGTTTTGTTATGCAAGTTGAACTTTAAAGTTATATTTTAATTTCCTAATTTATCATTAATGTAATGTATTAATATCTTTAGAGTATCTTCAATGTCAGGTTCTTCTAAGCTAAAAGTGCAATGTCTTGTAAGAACTATCATTATGGAGAGGTTTTTATAAAAACCTAACATTAGTTCTTACCATGAATTTTTGTCGAAATGACATTTTACTTATTTTTTATTTTATTTTTTTGACTTTGTATTAACTTATTTAATCTATACTATATTATAAAGCATTCGACAAAAATTCTTAAAAACCATTTTTTATATATGAATGATTGTTTATTGATGTATATTATTTAAAATTCAAGATTACAAATAAATAATGCATAAGTACAACTTATTAAAACTCTATGCTTGAATTCATGTAACTAACTGCAGATAAACATAATCAAATACTAAATAAATATTTCATTTTAAATATAAAAATCTAAAATATAATTAAGATAATCAATGTGTTATAACAAAATACTTAAAACCACGTAAAACTATGTTATAACATCGACATATGACATAATAAAACAAAACGTTAAAATCGAGATATATCTCGTTACATTGCGCGAGTACCTTTCTAGTTATTACTAATGTATTTATTTATTACGTAGATATTTATTAAATTACATCCACACCTCTGTAGCTGAACATATAAGCAAAAAGACTCGGTAATGAAACAGGAGGGATAGATATTTAGGGAAAAAGTGGGGCACACAGACAGATATTTTTTATATTCATTGGTGTTGATAAAAGCAGACCACACTCAAAAATCTTTGATTCACCATTCCATTCTTCTTATTTTCAACATGATGGAATCCTCAATAACCATTCTTCCACTTCCTCATTTCTCTTTTCTGAAACATAAACCCCATGGCCATGGAACCACAGCTATTGGAGCTTTTCCATTGTTTAAACAATGGAAGCATACATCATCTCACTGTCACAGGACCACTCTTCTGAATTGTCAAAAGATGTATGTCCCAGGTGCCTTCTCTTTTCTCCATCTTTTTACACACATACATACATATATACATATATTAATGAGGGACATGGTTATGGTTGTTGAATTTTAATAGGATTTGGAGAAGCATCACCAGAAGCCAAAGCAGCAAAGAACCTCCACAATTTCTTTACATATGTTGCTGTAAGGATAGTCACTGCACAGCTTGAGGTGGGTGTTCTGTGTTTGACTTTTATGGTCAAACAAGTACACCAATTTTGTTATGGATTTATTTAATTTTAAGAGTTAAATAGGGTACTACATAGAATCTATTTCTAATACCATCCAACAATGTTCAAAAATCATGAATAATTTTGGATTGCAGATATTTGACTTGTTTGACAGAAAAATTCAAAATGAACCTCTTTAGTGTTGAAACGGATTGCATGAAAATGCAACGGATTTTGATCAGATTCCTACTTTATGTAACTTACTTTCAAAACCTTCATTTTGATACCTCAAAGGTTATATCTATAGAGTTTTAGACCAAAGTACGTTATGCAAAATAGCAATCGGACCAAAGTAAGTAAACAAGGTACCTAAATGCTTGAGATGTTGCATTTGAGTTACCAAAATGAAGGTTTGAAAGTATATTACACAAAATAGGAATCAGACAGAAGTACGTTGCATTTCCATGCAAAAATGCACTTTAATTTAACACATAGTTTGACAGAACAGAGCTACAACACAGAGGCACATAAGGAGTTGATGGAATTTCTGGAAACACACTCTTTGAACGACGGTGATAAGTTCTGTGCAGAATTAATGCGTGAATCATCGAGACATAGAAGCCTAGGTATTCTATATCTTCCCTACTTCTGAATTATAATCGATACCCTAATGCCAGAAAAGGAAGTCTAAGTTTGACTTACATATTACTCCTGCTCTTCCAAAATATTAGTTGATCGAGGTTATGCTACACTATGATCTAGGAATGTAAATATGTAATTAGTATAGTTGATCTCTGATTACTACAGTATCACATGTTATTCCATTTTAATCCTTGTAAATTTTGCAATTCTTTAGCATACTACATGGAGAGACAAAGATACATGAAGGGTCTTTAAGGAAAAACATTATTTGATTGCTCCTAGATTAACATTATGAAAGCTCTAAAAAGTTCCTGAAGTGACAAATATATTGGAACAGGGAGAGTGTTATTCAAACTCAAAACTGATATGAATTCCTATCTTTTAGTTTATAAACACCATCTACTCAACTCTCACTTATTCTTGGTACACTACTATATAGTTCAAGTTACCATATTTTATAAATAAATAATTAAAGTAACAAATCATATCAATAATATGTAGTAAAAGAGTTAACATGTTTGACTTGAAAAAGTCAAAACTTACTATTTAGAGTAAATGCTATTCTTATATTGCTGTACAAGAGTTCTAACTATTGGGATTGTTCTAATGATTGGATATATTGGATTCACATTATGCCATTCCCTTCACAGCCATGAGAATATTAGAGGTAAGTACAGTTTTTGTTCATTATTAAGTTAATTCTTCTTTAAATGCATTAAATTTTTGAATGTTTCATCTCATAATTCGGATATTTTATTTAGGTTCGATCTGCATACTGCAAGAGAGATTTTGAGTGGGACAATTTGGAACGATTAGCTAAAAAGGTAAAATTTTGTTGCCTGTTATACACACTAGTTCTTTATCATTTTATGCTTCACTAACTTCGGTGTTCTTACTGCCATGTTCTTTGCAGATGGCTGATGAATCTAACACAAGACTTATGAGGGATTATGTGTTGGAAACAAGCCATGTAGAAAGTGAAAAATGAATCTGATGGATAATACGTTAAACGTTATATAAGATCATGTCTATTTACATGTCATGTAATGCAAGCTATTAGTATCATTTTACACTTCATTCAAATGATAATAACATGTTGCAAAGTATTTACACAAGTTGATTACATAGTACATACTTGTATGATAAGACAAACATGTTCTTCACCATCTATGATTACTGCCTAATTCACAGAATCTTCATTTTTCTCCAATGGCTACAAATGGAAAAAGCACATATCGGTGAATATTTTATTTAAGCACGTGTGTGTGTGAGAAGAGAGACTTCACAGGCCGAAACACTTAAAATTATGGTTTAATGATGAGTAAGATATTACCTCGATAAAGTGATGAACATCAGGAGAAGCTTGGATATGACCTGTGCTGAAATATGCCTGAGCATAATCCTCAATATGTTCCAGACTGCAAATGCGTTTTCACAAGTAAATTATGTTGCTCCATCTTTAGAATTATGACGTTAGTTCAAGACAACTCCTCAAGTTCTTGGTTTAGTGAAAACAGTTAATATGGTAACTAGAATATTTTCACAATTAATAAGTCAGAAACTAATTAAAGGGTATATATATATATATATATATATATATACACGCGGGAAAAGATCCAGAGAGAACCCCAAATAAAAAAAATCGAAGAACTTATACAAACCGCTCGATTGAGAAGATCTAATGGTTGTGATCAGAAAGGTGGTTAAGACTATCTTTTTTTAAATAAAAAATAGCTCTCTTATTTTTATAATCGAAAATCTATGAAATATAATCAAAATTGGAGTGAAACAAATTGCACCAAAATAACGGTCATTGTCTTCTCTTTTATTTGACATCCATTTTGATATAGGTGAAGAATCGTGTGAGAAGGAGAGTTAAAGTGAGAAGCGTAAGAAGGATTACCTTTAATTTCAAACCCACCATTGAATCGCGATTGATACAAGGATTAATCCGGTGCATCTCATCCTAATGTGCATCCAAGGGTGGAGATCCCTTCTTACGCTTCTCACCTTAACTCTCTTTCTCACCGGAACCCAACCCTTTTGATATATTATATATATATATATATATATATATATATATATATATTACCATATTATATATGGTAATCATACTAGAGAAATGTAGCAGCTATGTCATTACCATAATTAATTAGCTCTATATATAAGAGATCAGTAGAGAATAGATAGCATGCTTGATTTGCTTCTAGTTACTGAATATCAAATTAAGCATCTTTCAGGAGAAACAACTGCCTCTCGAAAAAAGACCGATTATGTATTTTGATCATCATTGTTTGTTTTCATAATATATCTTTTGGTTCCTACCATCTCCATTTCTCTTCCACATCAAGAAATGGACCCACAACCACAATCACATTCCTGTTTTCCTACTGAATATCAAATTAAGCATCTTTCAGGAGAAACAACTGCCTTATGAAAAAATACCGATTATGTATTTTGATCATCATTGTTTGTTTTCATAATATATCTTTTGGTTCCTACCATCTCCATTTCTCTTCCACATCAAGAAATGGACCCACAACCACAATCACATTCCTGTTTTCCTCACACCATAGAATCAAAAAGTTGAAAGATCCAAAATGATAGAACCCGTATGGTGTAAGAAGAAATGAATATTTGATCATGGGTCTCATTTACTTGGTGCGAGTAGAAATGAAGATGGGACAAGGAAGCTGGAGAGTTGAGGAATATCAATTTAAATGGAATCTTCATATCCCTCCCTCACCAGTTGCACAATCCTTTGTAATTGGAGGTATAGTTGGTAGTTTTATCCTGATTTTTTTATAAAACCAGATGAGATTTAGTTATCTTTTTCTTAAAGAAGATATTTAGTTATCTTAGTTACCTGTAGATGTAATTTACCATAATTCCTCCACTTTGACTAAGGCCCTTTTCTGACCGATCTGCCATCCAATTTAGTCTTCCAATCATCTGTAAACGACAATCAGTAATGGTTCATCACATGAAAGAACAAGAAATCAACATATGTAAGATTGCTTGTTTGACATACGGCTCCATTTTGCAAGTGGAAATTGGCAACTGAATCTAGAGCTTTCCCTCTTTTCTTTTCATGTAAAAGATACCTGTTGTGTTAACAAAGTACAATAACATAACTTATCAGGTTAGAAAGTCTAAATTATGACATACTCGTGAAACTATATGAACTTAGTCAGCTTATGGAAGAAAGTGTAGGTTCTATCCTTTTTGTAAACTGTCAAGAATTGATTAAAGATACAACATTTAGTTCGTCCTGATGAACATGGCTCTGCAGGATCAGGTCACAAGTTCGACCCTTCCCTTCTCATGCCTTAGGCCAACTCTTCACAACAATCAGAAAAATAGAAGGTAAAGATTAAAAAATACTTACCTGGCACACAGTCTTAGTAGAATCGGTTTTAGTCCAGATATCAGTCTAACAGATTGAGCCCACTCATGGTTGGCCGAGGTCAACAAGTGCAACAATACTTCCATGCCATTTTTCCCCGCAGTGGAATCCCTGGAACAGATCTTATTTTATAATATAGTTTGAGAGGATCTGAAATGCTCATAAGCAGAACAAACATGAGCTAATACATTGCAAATAACAGCTTTTAAGAAACGTGCTATACATATATAGCATTTACCTCCACGATATTTTATGGTGCTATTTTTTGCACCATTAATCTCCATTCTCCATTTCATTGGCCATACAAACCTTTGCACATCAAGCAAATAAGGCACACAATCATATGTTCATTTCTCCTCACACCACATAAGATCAAAATGAAAATGTTGAACATTAAACAACCTAAACACGTTTTTCCCCCAGTGTCAATCAAACATCTAATTCTCACGTTCATTCCATTTTTACTAAATGTGCCTAAAATATGTTGCCAATAACTGTAATTAGAGGGGTTGAGGATGAGGACGAGAATAAGGATACAAGTTATGCTTCCATTTCTGGTATTGTGTGTGTGGGCACGTCAGGTAGAAGGTGATGATAGAAATAGTGTATGATGGCATGTAAGTTCATCTTACCCAAATGCATCCACCAGTGCTCTTTCTTCCTCAGGTTCAAGGATGTTCTCACAGAAAATGGGAACAGATCTCTCAGATGATGCCAACTTAGACAGGAGCCACTGCATGAAGCCTGGGATAGGGCTTAGGGTTGCAAAATTCTGTAGAGAGATATGTATAGAGTCAGAAATCAAGGTATGAACCACAGATGATGAAAAGTTCTAAAAAAGTACATTATCTAATTAACAACCAACATCAATTTTGCAATGAAGGCAAAAGATTGATACATAGTTTTATACCACTTACAGATATATTTGGCATGTCTTTCATCACCAGATGTATGACTCGTTTTATGAGGAACTTCCCTAAGTTGATTCCTGCTAAGCCAGGCTGCCAATATCAAAAGTTATCCATATTGGTCACATGGAAGACACCCATCATATATATTTTATTCCAATGATATCTTTATCATTGTCTACCTGCAAAGTTGAAACTGAAGAAACAAAACAACTACCATTAATGGAAATAAAAATAAGTGTTACCTGAGTGGATGAAATAGAGTAGAATAATGCAGTAGTTGCTTCACATTCAGGTGTTGGAGGATCATGCCACAACACTTCCTGTAACGCAGCACGTTCTGGTTATTACAGAAAATAGTTAAAATGATAGCTTCACGAAGTATAAAAAAATTCACCTGTATGGTACAAGCTATATTCTTCATAAGTGCAACTTCAATAAATATAAGTGGTTCACCTGAGGAGAAGATCGGCTACTAGACATGTCATTAACTCAAAGATTGCAAAAGCTTTCAGGTACAACACATTACTCTTAACAAAGGTGGTATCGGGTTCTAGAAAGTGGGTTTAATTTATCAAATTAAGTGGAACTACGAGAAATATGCACCATAGCATGGGTGGGCTCTGTTACTCTAACCAAATTACTCGTTGTTCTTCTTTGAATCTTGCATACAGAATATTTCAAGTCAAGTACATGAAGACTGACCAGGTATAGCTGGATGTATGTACCCAAAACAGCGGCGGCCTATTCCCAACCTCCTCTTTAGATCTATAAGATTACTGATAGGATGCACAGCCTGTGAGTGTTAATGTTCATAAAGTCATAAGCACCAAAATATCTGAGAACGTCAGATTAACTATAGTGGATATCCGAAATAGATGCAAACCTCATATGCTACAATCTTCTCTAACAAAGAAGCAGGATCATCCCAAGTAATTTGGTGAAGCTCTAGGTTGGCCGGACTTAGCCACGTTATAAGCTTTTCTTTCAAGTATGAGTCTAGAGCCCGTATAGATGCAATATTTTCATCCCTGGATGTTCAACATAACCAACTAAGAACCCAAGTTCCTTGCTTATCAATAATACATTTTGCATCATTCAAATAGGAAGACAAGCTAAGGGGAAAACACTTTCAGATGAGTTTGTGCTGACCTTTTTGTGTTTTCTTTTTTCCCCATTTACGATAAGAATCATAGAACTTCTCTCCCATTATCATATAAGATATTCTCACATGACTTATTAACAGAAAAACTCTTCAGAGAAGGCAAATAATAATATACATAGTTCATATCATACCAAGCATAAATTTAAACATGTAATACGATCACTGTTGTTAACTCTTCAACAAGACAAAAGAATTTACAGAATTTAATTTCAGAAATTATTTATAGTATGTAAAGGTATCAAGATCATTCAACCTATATGACACAATTTTTAGGAATTAAGAGGTCAAACAACAGTAGTTTTGGGCATAACCTTACGCGATAATACACAGAATATCAGCTCGAACAGTTGCCAAAAACTTCAAACCACCAGGATGTGTGTTGAGCCTTTCAAATAAAACTGCATACATTGGCTGAAGAGCATGTCTTAAATTTCTTTCAATTCTATAAAAAGCAGAAAGCTGTCCTTCCATTTCATGCCCATGCTCGTCAGTTCCATCACCTGATAGTTAATCATTTTACAGCCAACCCACTTGGAACCAAAATGCATTGTTGCAACAAAAGGACACTCACCATTAGGGATCTCAAGACCAATATACTGCTTCATCAACTCTCGAACTTGAGTCCTATTGAGATCATACTCTCGAGCAAGAACGAGTAGTAAT